TTCACCCCCAAAACAGAACAGTTTCCACACAGAGAAAAAAGTATTCTGGTCAGATTTAGAGAAAACTTTGTGCTGCGCTTGTACCAGAAATGGATGATGAGTGTCAAAATTGTTTTTAGGAGGGCTTTGACCTGAGGAAGGGAAACAAGCAATCAGTGAGAGAACTCACTGCCACACACAGAACCAGCTAATGTACAAAGGTAACAGAGGCAAAAAATGTTGCCAGTCTCTAAGTGGTATACCAAGTGACACCTGGTCTGGATAAGAGATGAGTTTTAAATTCCACCTCCTTCCAGGTTTGACAACACTGATTGAAAAAACCCCAAAGCCTATAAATTACTGATGATCAGCTCTGTCAGTGACAGAAGGAATTAGTTGTTAGACCATGTCCAGATATTTTCAGCACCATATTGTCTTCTAAATATGGTGCTGTTTACTGTATACCTTCCGCTACGGCCATCACCAAGCATTATTAGAAGTGAGTCAGGGATTGCACATTTGCTAGCACGGATCCACTCTCACCATTCCAAGGAAACAGCTCCACAATGAGAGATTAGTGAGAATGTAAGAATAAAGGCATTTTTATTTTTTATAGATATACCTGTTTTCAGAAAGGAATTCAGTTTACTAGTAAAACTATTTTTGTTCTGGTTTAGCAGCAGATAAACAAAACTAGTTGCAGGGTTACTTACTTTCAAGTAGCTCCAGTGTTCCACTCCTCTCCTGGCAGAAAGGAAAAGGAAAGTACCTTCAGGTTTTCAAGGCACAGATCATGTATTTCTTGTGGTATGAAGCAATTTCTTTTAACATTCGGCTGTGCAATTCACCAATTCCCAGAACTGCATGTTATAGTTTGCATTCTGAACAAAGCTAAGTACCTTCCCTTCCAGGGCTCTTTTGTCTTCTAAATGCATCCTCCTTGGTTGTATTTCATGTTATTGTGTTCTCACTTTTTCCGTATAAATGAACATATTAATCCTTAATTTTCTAGGTTTCTTGCTCCATTTGCCAGGTAAGCATTTTTCTTCTCTCAGAGCTGCAGATGCAGATTACCACTGTGCCAGCTTCTTCCTGTCTGGAGTGGTCTGGCAAAAGGAATTAGCTCAGGAAAGTTCATAAAAATGTATATTTTCTTTTCACTTCTGCTGTACTTCACAGCTGTCTTGTTGTGTTCTCATCACTTTTCTTTCAAGTATACTTATGAAAAACCCATCACAGCAGCTAAGGTCTGCAGGGTTGGAAAGCTGACCTTCCAAGACAAGGCGTAGAAATACGGGAGGCAATCTTTCTCCCATCAAATGACAGTTCCTCCACAACTCTCTTACCCTTTGGGGTATCCCTGAGAAAATGCAAAACCTCAATTTTGGTTTGCTGCAGCATTCACAACGGTGAAAAAAACGCTGTCAGGATTCACTCGTCAGCAGCTTAGGCAATTGTGGAACTTGAGGTCCATTTGAAAATACTTCACGTATTCATATGCAGTAGACCTAAATGCAAGGGAATTAAAAACCACGTTTAAAGTCTGGCATGGAAGGCTACATGGGCAGGATATGCTCCAGTCTGAAAGAAGACAGGTTTTGGTCAGGATAAGATGAAACACAGACCACTGGAAAGAAGTACAAGTGCAATACTGCTGGTGACTTCATGTTTAAAAATATGGCGTGTCTGTGTAGAGAAAACTAGTCTGTAGCATCCGATTAGAGCTGTTGCATTTTTCTGAGCTGTCTGGCTTACTCTGCATACAGGCAAAACTCAGTTCACAGAAACAGTATATTCCCTTTTCTACATACCCCTTCAGGAGAAAAGGAAAAAAAAAACCAAAACAAAACTGTTGCTATAGAGGTATCATCCATAGAGGTAAAGAAGGCCTAAAATGAAGCAAAGAATTCATAGAATCACCTTTCTAAATCTTCAGCTGCTCAACCCTGAAAATATCAGGGAAGAAAACCAAAATGCATGTGAGTTAGCATGTAGTTGCATAAAGCTATCCATGAGATCCCAACTAGGAGACTAGAAATTTCCAAAGAAGTTGATCCCACCACCCCTGCTTTGTCCCTGCCTGTGAGAAAGGACATCATGAAAATCAGTCCTCGGGCAGACAAAACAGATTCCTTCTCCCTTTGAGACTGCATCATTGCAAAAAGCCCAGCACCTCCAAAACAGCATGGGAGGTGAAGGAATTGGCACTTATTGCCACAGAGCTCTTCCAATCAGTTTGATATCGCAGTGCAGCTACAAACGATGAGATCTGACTCACGTTCAATGAGCACCAGCTCTATGTCCTGTTTAACAGTGGAACTCGTGCACTATGGAAACTAATTTAGATGTCCCACTATATATGCTGGTAAAAGCATATATATACTGGTTATTCAGACATAATCTGGGGTTTGCCTCACACCTCCTACAATGAAGCTACTGATACTTATCTCTCGTCACCCATACAGGGCACTGCAAACCATCCTCAAAACAACTCATCAGCAACTGGTAGACTCTCTATTAAAACTGTAGCAGTATTAACATCTGATGTCTTCACAACAGTACAGATTTTTTTTGAAAAAGCAGAAAAGTCTGAGAAAGCCATTATTTGTCACAGGATGATCCAAAGGCTGTTAATCTCCTGTCTACACCTTAAGAAAGAAAAGAGGAGAAAAATCTAATTTAAACAAGTGCTACTAGGGATAAAAAATTCAGACTGATGCTACGTTAAATTACTCGGGAGGCTGAGGTATCCAGCCATGGTCTTCAGTAAAAAAGAAAATTATAGGGTCTATCAATTAGAGAAGCGGTGCTCTGAGCCTATGTGCTGGCATGCTTACAGTTTTTTTAATGTCTGGCAGGATGTTTTACAAACTAAACTCAGCAAGATGACAATTCTACCAGAAGGTGCTTCAGATGGTTTTGCTAATAATTTTGATCAGCTGAAATGGAGAAAAACATCACTTCGTTTATTTGGCTTTTCCAGAACCTGTCAAATCTGAGCAGAACCATTAATTGCCCCCTTCTGCATCTCCCCCACCTTCTTCCAGAAAAGACATACTTCAATTATTTTTTTTTTTCCTACAAGTCTTCTGCATAATCGGCCTTTGCAAACTTTGGTCATTCTTCGTGCACTTCCTTTGCTAGAAGGAAGTGCCATTTCTTGAGAATATTCATTGGAGGCTGGTACTGCGACTGCTGCAAACATGTAAGTGCTAACCACCATATATTGGCTTTTGTTTTAATAGCCTTTTAACCAACTTTGTTAATGGACTGAATGCAATTTAGATATGGAACTTGGCTAAAATGTAGCTTCAATTGGCTATTAAAATTTAAGAGCCAACTAAGATAGCTAATTACAAAAAAGCTCCAGTGATAATGCTAAGCAGAATTAGTAATAGCAAATGACAGTCTGTCTGGTCTTATTCCCAAAGGGAAAGAAACTCTTAACTGAGAAGTCAACCAGACAACGTGCAGAAAACCTAATTGCATTACTGGTATTATGGCATCCCAAATCTGGCAGCTCACTGGGACAAAACAGTGAGTAAAGTCTGTCAAACTACTCAGGAAAGCAGCTGACCCTCTTCTTAATGCTAGCTGCAACAGATACTGGGAATTATGTTATTATTTTGTATTAACTTATTGGGAAATACTCCCGTAAAAATTATCAAATCAGCACCATCTAAAAAATATCTTATACCCATCCTGAATTTGATTCTCTCTCCAGATATTTTAGATTAGGGGAAAAAATACAAACAATCTGTCTGCAAAACGTTCGAGCACCAAAAGAAGCATTCCGTGCTTCATTATCAATATCCTCATTACACCATCAGCTGAAGTGCCGACTAGTTCTCCTGTGAAGATTTATCATGTATGGTGGCCACTTTGAAACATAGGTAGCGGAGTCTTTAACATTCCCTACTCAAGTGTCTCCCTGCTGTGCCTGTAAATGTCAGTCCAGTTTTTTCACGGCTGTGCGCACAGATTAGAAACAGCAGGAGAGCTTGGGAGTATGACTACAATACCAGTAAGGACACTTGTCTTCATGGCACTGCTCAAGTGATTCTTGGAATGCAGGACCCTGCTGTTTTCTAATATTTACACACAACTGGAGTCATCAAGAGCAGTAAATGCAGTCTAAAGGCAGCTTGCTGCTTTTGTGTTAGGGGCTTTACTTTCAAATGGGGATGTCGACAAAAACCAACTACGCCCTCCACCTCTTCTGAAGCGGTGTATTTCCCCATCACTGTTTTGCAAAACGGCAAAAACGTGTGCAAGCGCATACTGTATGCAATACCTACAGTAGTACTGCAGGTATTATCACAGCCTTCCACTTGGCTCATCCTGACCGTCCCACACTTTAAACATCATTGCAGTTTACAGTGAGCCAGAGACATTCTTGCCCGTGACGACTGTAGTTTTGCACAGTCTCCTGTGAGCAGAGACAAGCCCTGAAACAACATTCACCTAAAACGGAAAGCACCCTTTTTCTTTACAGAACACTTGCCAGTACAAACTTTTTCCAGGACATTTTTGGGGTGGGAAGAGGTAGGGGTGGCTTATGAAATCTGCACCTCAAAACATTCTTTTCAAATATATGGAAATGTCTGTGTTTGTTGCATTTGGCTTTGGTAGTGTCAAAAGAAAATACACTCCTTGAAAACTTGGAAAGTAAAGAAAGGAAGTTTACCAGTAAATAAGTTACTAAAAAGATTAAAATGTCAAACAACTAAAGTGCAAAAGAATGACACTGAGTATGCAAGACAAGCGAGAGAACACAATATGCTTTCCTGACAATAGTTCTTCAGAACAGTGTAACTTACTGATGATTAAATGAACTCATTAAAATGATAGTTTGATTTGAGGAGTTTTAAATATGAGAGGCTTCAGCAGTCCTATTTTTACACCTGAAACAAAGAGAATGCTATGCTTAAAGTCATCAGCCGCACTTCGCTAATACCCAGGAAAATGAGTCTGTATAGCAGTCAGAACAGAAATAAGAAAGCACTAGATCTTTTAAATATGTTATTCCAGTTTTATTTCAAAACAACGGATTCCCTTGTTTTCAAAACATAACCTCATCATTCATTCAACATTTTATGCTACAACATACTTATTTCAGTGAGTAGCTACTCAGGCATTACACAATCAGGCAAGCAGAGCACTGGACATCCACACAAATACACTACCCATTGGCTCATACGGATTCCTTTTGGTTTGTCAAACTTCATAAAGCAGTCTCCCTGATAAGAACGATGTTCATGCCCTGATTACATGTATTTTTGCAGTATCTAAATGAAAAGTAGTGGTATTTCACACTGAAATTAAACACTGCATTTTTTGACTTACAATTCTGAAGAGAAGGCTCAAAGCCAAGCAAGGAAGTACATTTACAAAAGGTAACGTGCTTCTCAACTATTAGAAAAGGTAAACCATTCTTTTGTTACGAGAAGTACGTTTGAGTCAAGCTTTCACTGGAACTAGACACTTTACAAAGTTATTCATAATTATAACTTTTCTGGCCTTTTCACTAATATAAAAAGAAAACCTGAGGGGGGGGTTGAGAACGGGCATTGGTTTTTGGTTGGTTCTTTTCTTTGCCCTGGGCCCTATATCTGAAATTCTGGTCTCTCTCTTTCAGAGAAATTCTGAATAATTGGAAAAGTGATACAAACACAAATACTATGCAAAAAAGTAACTAAAATTCACTACCTGTCCTCCAAAAAATTTTTTAAACACATTACATAACAAACTAGAATGGAAGGACGTGATTTTTGTCTTATGTTCTCTTTTTTTCTATTCAAACACTTGAGAAATATTTAAAAGATGTCTCCACCATTTCAGACTTCATCTCAGTGTACATCTAAGTGACCTCCAATAAGACTTTACTCAAAATTAGAAGAAATCAGATGCACCACCACTGTTCCTTACAAAATACCCATAACGAAACTAAATAAGGCTTTATTTCTACATTATAAAGCAGAAAAAAGCACTTTCTTTTAGTTTGCCTTTAAGACGTGAATTTGTCTATATAAAGAATAAAAACACATTCTCACTTCAAAGTTGGCAAAATTTTGCATTAGAATTAAAGTATACATAAATTATGCAAATATTTTAATAAAACATTTCTTCTCAAAACCAGGTACAAACAGCAGTCCATGTTTTTACAGGACTCATCATTTAAAAGGGAAAGAAAAAGATTCCAGTGCTACAGTAACTGAAAAAAACCTGGAGATGAGCCAAAGAGCAACTTCATTTGTTGCTCCACCTATTATTTACTTCTGGACTCTCTTTCTGGTTGCTGTGCCTTTCTTGGATTTTGATGAGGTCATCTTCCGGGTTCTGGTAGCTACCGCATCTGCAATTCAAACAAAAAAAAGACAAGACTTTCTATAAAATAAAATAACAGAAGTGGATCACAAGAAAATACTTGTAGTCTTTAAGAGGACTGATCAACTCAAACCATTCATTTAGTTTTGACGGGGTAATGGGAGGACACGTGACATGGACTCAGAAGAATTCCTGGGCACCGATTTTCTCCTGAAAAACACATTGTACAATTCCACTTCTCAAACAGTAGCATTACATACAGTTGAGCAATTTAACAGCTCACGTCCACCAAAGCATGAAGAATCAGATCCTCTTCAAATCCTAATCTGGACTCGATGATCTTAGAGGTCTCTTCCAACCTTAATGATTCTATGATTCTAAACCCCTCCTTCCTCCCCATGCGCCAGCTTTCAGTTCTATGATCCCTCCCAGTATTAAGCCATTTTTGGTGCTATTTGGACCTTGCGCGAAGCTGATCCAGCTCCGCAACCTGGCAAAGAACTTTTTTTTGGTCTACTATTCTCAGTTTAGTGAGTTGCAGCACCTTAGAGCGTTCTGAATGGAGCTTATACGAGGGGAGATGGAAGGCACACAGGTAGAAAAGAGGAAGATTTTTGTTTGGCAGTGTCGAGCTGTTAAATCAGTTCAGCTATCAGTGCAACTTTACCTACAGATTTCAAGCTTTTATTTGACAATATTTTATTAACAAAGGTAACAAACAGTGCCATCTAAATAAGATTCCTGACAAACCTGGCAGGCAGGTTGTTCAGAGAGAGCATACTTAAATGCAATACTAAAAAACTCCCTGTACTTTGATTCTTTCCTGCCCACTAGCAGAGACAAGGAAAAAAAAACCCCACCACAGCTCATTTCTGTGAATCACATTCAACTGTAGTCACTGTGAGAAAAAAATATTACGTATCATAAAAATCGCTACCATTTTCACAAATGTAGTAACAATGAAATGTTTTTCATCTCCTAGTCATGGTATTATTTTTTTTAATCCTGACTTCTTCCTTGAAGTCAGTATGCCTAAATATAGAAGTTTTTGCTTGTAAAACTATATGTAACTCTACAGTTCCTGTCAACTTCTTAATCTGCATTACTGACAAAGAAAAAAAGGTAAAATTGAGTTTCATGGAAGTCCTTAAGAAAGAAGCTGCTTGCATAAGAAAACAGCCTTTGAGCAGTACAAGTCACTGATCGTTCAAGCTCAATGAGTAAATTTGGGGGAAAGCAAGGAGGCAGAGAACAATGCAAAACAAACCAAACTAGTCTTGAGCCTACCCAAAACCAAAACCACACCAAGAAAAGCAATGACCTATTGCAAACAGTTTTGCTTTCATGTTTGTTTAAATTTACATAACTTAATTTGTTCTTAAAATGTTGATTTGAAATTAAAAATACCAAAATTAACTTTGAAGAATTTTTCCATTCTTGAAAATGAAATGGAGAATGAAAAAATATTCTTGTTCCTTTTTTGTCCAAAAGCATTTGCTGCATTCAACATAAAACTACAAATGTATTTTTGTCAGACAATACACCTCTGATTAATAAATCACTCAAAAAAAAACCCCAACCCAACAATGGACAACTCTGGTGATAGTCTCTTATTGAGCAGAGCAGCTTTATCAATGAAAGATCTATTCTGGCAAAACACCCCCTCCCGCAACTGCTATGTAAAAATCAAATCTGTTCTGGTACCCTTACAAGTACTGGTACCTAAAAGCTATACAAGCAGGTATCATAAACTAAAGTAGTAACTTAACTACGTAAATCATTCCTTCTCCCAGCTAAATTCTGGTTTATCTTCAAGAATTATTTTATACTTTTCAAAGTCACAAAATATTTCAGCTACTATAATTACAAATTCTAGCAACAGCCATGTCTTCTGACTTTTCAAACTGAGTAGTCTTAGTGGTATTTAGGCCGAGTTATCTTATCAACTGCATGAACTGTACCAGTTCCATCCCTCCTGAGATTTTTCCCCGGAATCTTTGTATTGCAACAGAAAGCAGAGAATGACTAAGTTTTCTCTTCAAGAAAAAACAATAACGTGATATTTTTCCCTTTCATTAATCTTCACTGGTTTTGACTGAGGTAACTGTGACTTTTCTTCTCATCCAATCATAGACTGTACAATCAAATGCTGCAAAGACAGGTCACATTCATGTTCGATTATCAGAAAGACTGGCAATATGAAAATTATTACCTCAGGCAGGAAAATACTACAGGTGTTTGTTTATAGAGAAAAAAAGAGAGGAGTTACCAGATTTTCATGTTTGTATTTCAGGAATGTAGTATTTCATGGTAGTCACAGACAATACAAGCAATTGAAGCTTACTAATTCCTAATTCAGTAAGAGCTTACCCATTTCTAATTGCCCATGCTGGAACACCAAAAAGGAGAAGAGAGCTACCCTGCCTCTGATTTTCCCTTTATCTTTATTGCGTTAATGAGTTCTTTTCAAGGCTTTTCTAAACAAACCATGATCATGGAGAATCTCTACGTGAATCATAACAAAAAGGAAAAAAATCCTCGTCATGGTTCTTTTATTCATAATTTCAAACTTAAGCAGCAGAAATATTCTCTTAAACTATCTGATTAAGTTAATTATGTTAAACTTAGAATGACTGCTCTCAACCCATGTTTAGCTTCAAAGTTTGCAGCTATTTCAGAACTGAAGGTCTTCTGTACCAAAAAGCTTGTCTACGTTTTCAAAATTAGTTAGCCTGATAACTTATATTGCCCCCTCCCCACAAACTTTTCTTGTGGGAGAAATGTCAATTCTGTTTCTGAAAACAGGAGAAGTCCTGTGTGGGCAGCACCAAATGAGGACACAAAGCAAGCTATTACAAGCCAAGGAGAGGGTTCTCATAAAGCAGATTAAACTGAATCAGGCTGAAACAGCAATTTAAATGAGGAAGAATTATATAGGCAAAAATAAACCAGATGGTGTCACTGCACAGCTTGTTTTGAGACTGGAACAAAGTTCAGCAGAGGCATAAAGAGTCCCACAGGCTCTAGAGGAATTATTAGACAAGTTGACTGTGGTATCTGATCCTCTCCATGTAAACAGTATTATAAAGCAACTTTACAAAAGCCTAGCAGTACTGTGTAGAGTTTTGGGCTCTATCTTTCAAGAAAGTTCTGAGAAAAATGGAGGAAAAAAAAAAATCAGGATTATGATCATGGTTTCTAGCTCTCTAACAAAAAAAAAAAAGGAATTGAATTTAAATAGTTTATCTGAGGAAAGGAAAAAAATGGAGGAGAAATGTGATGGTGCAGCCTTTTGTACTCATCAAATGTACAAAAGGTTGCTGCAGAAAATGAGAGCAATTTTCATGTCCACAGTGGATAGGACAACTAACAAGCTTAAGGGAAGTTCAAATTAGGTACTAAAAATATCAAAATAAAACACTCCGCCTTATCAATCCCTTTTTAGTATTAAGGATAGTTAAGTATTGCAAGTGGTGTTGACCAGGGATGTTTTAGAATCTTAATCATAGAGGTTTTACAAGAAAATATTGGTATGTATGAAGATTAACACAGATGTAGATAGACAAGCCTGTCCTTAGGCTGGTGTTTAGAGCAGATCACCTCTTGATGTCCCTTCTCATCTTGTTTTCCAATTCTACATACACCATTTTAGAAACACACATAAGTCTTATGAGTAAGAGAAATAAAACTGTACTTGAGTCAAAAATGAAAGTTTCTATAAAATGACAAAGGCTCTTACGGTAAAAATAAGCAGACAGCAGAGTCCCAAGTTTCCCACTTAATTGCCTGCTTTGATGGAAATGAGGACAGTGAGAGATTCTGAGTGTGAAAACACAGCTACCAAGCAGTTGAAATCAGGTATGATTTAGGTGTTAATGGTGACTTCTAGGTTACATCATAGGCTAGAATATTTGAAAACAGAACCACATACAGATTTTTAGACTCTAGGCAAACATCAGGTAAGTGAAAAATATCTAGCAGCAGGCATGCTGGAGGTTAGCAACTGCATCACTTGCATATGCTGAATTTACACCTGACAGACTGAGTACATGCCAGTCTGTATAACGGCTGAAGAGTTCCAGCAGTTCTAGTCTATGCAAGCTCTTAAACTAGACTTGTAGTAATCATCATTAAACACAGCTAACATCTTTCACTCTCAAAAGAAGCACACGCAGTCGAGTACATTGATCAGACACAGCAAGGTTTCCTTTCTTAAAAAAAAAAAATCCAATGTGTGTGTGCGTGTGTAATCTCACACACACGCTTTGCTATATGTTTTATCTTGTTAAGAAACAAAGGTCAATAAATCTGGAGAGTTGGACCACGTGGTGGAGAGTTCTCAAGTGGTCTCTGGAAGAGATGTTCTCAGACTAGTCTCCACATAGATGTATCTTAATCATCACTTCTGTACAGACACCCAGCGTGCCACAGCAGGACAGTCTTATGACAGACCTGACGTTTCTTTAATGCTGGCAACTTCATGCCACATATACTGACTTGCCACAGTTAAGCTGAGAAGTGATGAAGTTGACTCCCTAGCCAACTAGATAGGATCTTGCATATGCCACTATATCAGATCTCAGTGCAATATATTAATCCAAGAATATGTTTTGTTACTAATTTAAGTAACTAACTGTGGACTTGTAATTTCCAAAGGAGACAAATTTAGGACTGTCAGTTCTTCAAAATTCTTCCACTGGCTACAGTACCACTTTTGTCTTGCAAAATGTGCTTCAGTCATATTTCAGCTGTCTTTAATCATATCAAATAACCAAGTCATTTTACTGGATGGCTCCTTAGGAGACCCTTCTTCAACTGCCCCTTAAAAGGGTTCTATAATCATCAAACTGAAAAGGGAAAACAAGAGAATGGAACCCATACAATTGCTATTTACATATGGAAGGAATAGCATTGGAAGCTGAAAGACTACACTCAGCATCCAGCTGCAAACATCAAATAGGAACTGAAGCCAGGCTGGGCAGCATTTAATGAGAGCTAAGCATCACACTAGTCTAGCGTTCTCAAAAG